CCTGTCTCTCTTTACTCTCTGTATTGGCTTTTCTGTGTTTGAAGAAGATGGGCATTGTGGGGAGGGCAGAGGGGAAATTCCTGATCCTGCTTTGCGGTTTTGGGTCCTTCAAGGTACAACTAAGGAGGGCAGGTTGGAGTGGCTAGTGAACATTTACGTCACTGGGGCTGGATCAGGAAAGGAAAGGAAAGGAAAAAGAAAAAAGGAAAAAGGAAAAAGGAAAGGAAAGGAAAAGGAAAAGGAAAAGGAAAGGGAGGGGCAAGTCCTGGGGGACTGGCTGGTGGGGAGAATTGCTTACCTCTATTGGTTGAGTGTGTGTGTGTGTGTGTGTGTGTGTGTGTGTGCAGGCATGTGAGTGCATATGTATGTATGTGCATGTACAGGCACGTTGGAGGGAGGAACCCTCTTTTAGGTGGCTGTGAGGAATGGTCCTCAAGGAAATCACCTGCCTCCTGCCTCTCTTTCCAGCCCTCACTGTTGTGCCAGTGTCCTGGCTGCCCACCCACATAGTACAGACCTTCCGAGGTTCTGGTTGCCTAAGATCCAGCTGTTATGGAGGCAAGATGCTCCACTTGCCTGGATGCCCCGGGTTTTAGAACTTTTCTCCCCACTTCTGAAAAATAGTGGTGGAAGCTATGATTCCTTCTGACCATTGGCTCCAGAAAGTACATATTACTGTTTGAGGGGAAGGGGATGTTTGATAGGCCTACGATGGGGCCATTTCAAGCAGTAATCTTAGGGCCTCTCATTGTGGTTTAGGTCTCTGGAGAGCCCTGTCAGTGTATAGGCCAGATCTGTATGTTTGGCCAACTGAAGTCCAGCCATCTCCAGGAAAGAACAGTGAGCTGCTCTCTTTTCTCAAGCCTCAGAATCAGCCTCAACCAGAGTCTTTCTGACCAGATGGAGGATTATCATCCCCTTTGGTCCCCAGCATGAATCGTTCTCACTGGCCTCTGCTTCCCCACTTTCTGATCCTGAGACCCTTTAACATCTATATAATAAAAGCATAATATGCTAATTAGAGGGATGTCCTTCCGGACGTCCTTCCAGACAAAGCCGCAGTGGGTGGGGCTGAGGCAGAGGTGGCAGGGGCCCCCCCAGCCGTGGGGGGCGGGGCCATGGCAGAGGCCCCCAGCCACGGCAGCAGCGGGCCAGGGCCTGGGCCAAGGCCCTTACACAAATTTCATGCATCAGGCCTCTAGTTATATATATAATTTATTTCAGAGAGGGAGATAGAAACATCGATGAGAGAGAGAATCATTGATCAGCTGCCTCCTCCACGCCCCACACTGGGGATGGAGTGCGCAACCCAGGCATGTGCTCTGACCGGGAATCGAACCATGACCTCGTGGTTCATAGGTTGACGTTCAACCACTGAGCCATACTGGACGGCCCGAGACCTTTAGTATAGTTGCTTTATCAGGTTTCCAAACAGCCTCATAACAGTACTGATTTCTGGGCGAGAGTCCTCTGTTTGGCACTTGCAGATATGCCAAACTCCGATATGTCAATAGGTGGTGAAAGCCATGTGGTGAGTGTCAGGGCTCAGCTAGGCCCAGGGTGGTTTGGGAGCTCGAAAAGATGGACAAGGGCACTGGGGTGGTGGGAAAGACGTTCTGGGAAGGTGATGCCCGTACACTTTAGTAGAAAAGTAGGAATTAGGGGTGGCAAGGGAAAAATATCTTTGAACTGAGGAGACAATCCGAGCAAAATCTTGGGGACAAAGAAGGTAGTATGTGCAGGAAACTATAACCCATTTCAGTGTCACTGCAGCTGGAAGGGACAAATGGAGAGGGAGAGCACAGGAGCCCTGCTGGCCATGCCAAGAAGCACAGCTTGGACTTTTGCCTTCGGTGATACAGAAGGACGGGAAACTTTAAACTGGGTAGTGGGTAGTGACAGGGTTTGTTTTTGTTTTAATATATTGGTAAAAATGTGTTGAAGGTGGGGCAGGTAGAGGGAGGAAAAGGTAACTGCTTGAGATTCCCCCCCCCCCCCCAAAAAAAAGATGAAGGGAGAGTGGTGGGGGTTCTACAAGGATTTCCTTTTAAGACAGGAAGGAGATGCTATGGCAAAGTCAGAATGAACCAAAGGAATAGTCGTTTGGGGAGCCATGGACAGCTATAGGCATTTGGTTTGGTTGTGTGGGTGCTCACACCCCTTTGGTCCCCTGGAGAAAGGCAGAGTTAAAAGTGGAACCAAACAGCAGTTTATTTCTTACCTCCATTTTGGGTTCCTTTCCCCAGACCTTTCCTGAGTCCTCTGTCCTTCAGCCCAGGTTAGGAAGATCAGAGCAGGAGGTATGGACAATGATATGAAATCTGCATCCCTGGTGGAAATTGGGGCAAAGACAGTGGCCTCTTATGAAATGACCTCCTAATACTTTCAGTGTGGTCTAGGGCAGTGGTCGGCAAACTCATTAGTCAACAGAGCCAAATATCAACAGTACAAAGGTTGAAATTTCTTTTGAGAGCCTAATTTTTTAAACTTAAACTATATAGGTAGGTACATTACTATTAATTAGGGTACTCCTAAGCCTTAGGAAGCACCACACTCAAGGGGCCAAAGAGCCGCATGTGGCTCCCGAGCCGCAGTTTGCTGACCGGGTCTAGGGGAAAGGGCCAGCTCCACAACTTACCACCTAGGTTGGTTAACCTTGGGCGAGAACCTAATGTTTCCGAGCCTTAGTTGCTCCATCTGCCAAATGGGGCTCAATTTACCGACTAGGGAAGAAAATCATACTGAGTAAACACGGCTGTTCAGCTCGAAGTTAGTTCCTCCCACACGCCTCAGGTCATGAACCGACTGTTAGTTAATGACTTCTTACCAGACTGTTCCTCTTTGGGGTGAGGGGTTGAAACGGAGGTCCTATTCAAGGGTCTGTATTCTGGGAGAAAAGGACCATCCGATATGTCTGCATCCCTATTTGGGTGGCTGGATGGGGTGGGGGTGGATTGGGTAGTAAACCCCTGCCCCTTCCTTATTCTGATCTCTAACGGGGAGGGGGGCGGGGGAGGAAGCTCGTTAGGTATTTCTATTGTGTCCCACCCCGCTAAGACGCACGCGCGCGGGGTGTGTGTGTGTGTGTGTGTGTGTGTGTGAGAGAGAGAGAGAGAGAGAGAGAGAGAGAGAGAGAGAGAGAGAGCAGAGGGCGGGAATTGGGGGGAGGGGGCGTGCAGTGCTCTGGCTTTCTGGACCCCGCGACGGGGCGGGCCTCCACGTGTTCCGCTGGACCACG